GATGAAACGTCAACCGCCACAAATAAAAATAGTTATTTATTATACAAGGGAAAAAAGTAGTAGATTTTAGCTCCAGGTTGTGTTGTCTCCCGACGCGTAGCGGAGGGAGACAAAAAACCGTGAGCTAAAATCTAATATTTTCCCGTGTATAATACACTATTTTTTTCTGTGACAGAAGGAAGGACGAATCAATATTGAGAAGATATTACATTATTTCGAAATCTGAAAATTATCAACGTGAAATTTCAAGGTTTTAACAGGAGGGACACCTGCGTTTTATAGGCATCTTTATCATTCTTTTGAAGTAATCAAATATCTGATGTCACTTCTGTCAGTTCAATTCTGTGATTTGATTTTAAAAAATTGCGAATTCAGTAGTTGTTTAGTAATATACGAAACCGCGAAGTCGAATGGAAGATAAAAGGACTTGCAGTTCTTTCTCGGAGACGGTATTATTGACTCATTTTTCGGAACTATAGCACAACAAAAGCCATTAACAGAGTATATATATGTGATATATATCCGGGAAAAAAGTACTCACTTTTTTCCCACGGGAAAAAAGTAATTTATGAAAAGTGACATTTTATAACCTGCCAACAGAGATGAAATGCCAAACTTTTTTCCCGTCACAGAAAAAACACATTTTCACTGTCGTCTATATATGTATAGTATAGTATAGTGTCAGTACTGATGAATGATATATCCTCAGTTCCAGAAAATCGTGTTAAAAAGTATATAAATTATGACAAAATGAAGCAAGAACTTCAAAATTACGACTGGAGTAACTACTATCAGCTAAGAAATGTGAAACAACAAGCTAAATACTTCCTGAAATCATTAACTGAGCTAGTTGAGAGAAACACTCGCACCATAAGGCTACCAAAAATCGAAAAAAAACGTAAGATATGGATAACTGATGCTTTAGTTAAATCAATAAATAAAAAAAATCAATTATACCGGAACTATAAAAAGAACCCTGAAAATACTGCTATTAGAGATACGTACATAGAATACCGCGAACTAACTGACAAATTGATAAAAAAGGCTAAATATCTTTTTTATAAAAATCAAATTAATAAAAACAAAAACAGCTCCAAAAATTTATGGAAAGTTGTTTCAGACCTAACTGGGTCGAATCAAACGCATGATGATATAACAGAAATTGTCACTGAAGACGGGGAGATAATAAAAAATAAAAAAGATATTGCCGAAATCTTCAATGATTATTTTGTCAGAGTAGGCGAGAGTCTTGCGGAAAAAATTAAAAAACCCAAGTCGGAAGAACCGATAAGATATTCACTGCCAAACTCGTTCTATCTTGCACCCACAGACAAGCAAGAAATAATAAGTATTATAGATACCCTAAAATTGAAAAAATCACCTGGCATTGACCAAATCAAAACAGAAACATTAAAGTCAATTTCTAATTTCATTGCGGAACCTTTAGCATTCCTAATCAATAATATATTCAAGTCTGGAGATTGCCCAGATGAGTTCAAAATGGCAGTTGTCACACCAATTTTTAAAAAAGGAGACAAAAAAATAATGTCAAATTACAGACCAATATCTGTAATATCTGGAATTACGAAAGTTTTCGAAAAGTGTCTGAAAAATAGATTATCAAAATTTATTGATAAATATAACATTATATCTAACAACCAATTTGGATTTCGAGAATCAATGTCCACAAGTGACGCAACGGCTACACTCCTAGGTAATATTTACAAAAATGTAGATGATGGCAATCCCACCCTTTGCGTATTCCTGGATCTGGCTAAGGCTTTCGATACCGTCAATCACGAGCAGCTATTGGGGGCCTTGGATGATGTAGGAATAAGAGGTGCAACTCTGGAACTAATCGGGAATTACTTGAAAAATAGAATACAGGTAGTTAAGATTGAAGGGAAGTTCAGCAGAGAGAGACTTCTGAATTGTGGCGTGCCTCAGGGTACTGTACTAGGTCCCTTACTATTTTCTATTTATATAAATAGCCTCCTCACTATGAATACAACGGGAAAAGTAATAAGTTTTGCCGATGATACTGCGATTTTGTATACAAGTGATACATGGGTCAATCTGAAAGAGATAGCAGAGAATGATTTAAAAAACATTATAAATTGGTTCAATCACAAAATTTTGACCATCAACTTTGATAAAACTTTTTTCATGCCGTTCTGCAGTTATAGAAATGGTCTACCCAACTTCAATACTCTCCAGATTCAAAACGATGAAGAAACGTTTGAGATAAAATCAACAACTAAAATAAAATATCTAGGAATCACGATCGATCCCCATCTGAGATGGGACAGTCATATTTCAAATGTGGCAAATACGCTGAGAAGTCTTTTACCGAAATTTAAATACCTCAGATCAATACTGGATATCACTGACCTCAAAACTATTTATTTTTCACTAGTCGAGTCACGCCTGCAGTATGCAATATTGAGCTGGGGAGGAGCTCTATGCACACATCTGAGAAAGCTAGACATTACACAAAAAAAAATTCTGAAGATGATGTACAAGAAAAAGTATACTTACTCATCCGATCAGCTATTTTCTGAACTCAGGATCTTAGATATTAGGCAGCTATACTTTTATCACAGTTTAATATTCCTATACAAAAACAGAATTGACCTTAAAAAAATTGACCACACTTACAATACACGTAATAAAACAAAAAATCAGATACAAACTACCTTTTTCAAAAAATCTATAGGCCACAGATGTCACCTTCATCTGTCCCAAAAAATTTACAATACTTTGCCAGGCATATATAAAACATATTTAGCAAAAATCAATTCAACCCAACTCATCAAAAAACTTTCTAAAAACTACTTATTTTCTATTGATAGAAATCAAATCCACAGTATATTCGACAATACCTAGGTCATATAATATGAATATTTGATGTCTTTCCTTAATTTTCTCAATCGGAAATATTATTTAATACATTTGTTAGTTATTATTTGTTATTATTATTATTACTGTTATTTCATTCCTATTACTATTATATATAATCGTAATTACTATTCACCTATTTTTGATTTTTGATATACAGATACATAAAAAAAAACAACCAAACGATTGAAAAAACATGCCTCGTTTATACTCATTGATAAATTGAAAGATTGACCCATGCTCGACCTGATCAGGTTCTAATGGGATTTTCAAGTTTATTCAAATTTGTTCAATTGTTCAATTATTGTGATTGTATATTATTAATTATTGAGATTGTATATTATATTAATTATTGTGATTGTATATTATGATTGTCACTATTATTATTATTACAATTTATTATTGTTATTATTGCCTACAACTATATTACTTAACATTGAATAAACTTATTATTATTATTATTATTATTATATAGGGTGTCCCGAAATTAGCCTGCCAAACTTCACCAGCGGCTTCTTCGACCAAAAATCAACTCAACTCCGTTCAGAAGAATGCATATTTTTATTTTATAGAAACGGGGAGAGAAAATCCAAAAAAATCAAGTAAATAGTTATTTGTTTAACTAGGCAGCAAAGTAGTAGATTGACTGCCGAGGCTGAATTCATAGCCGAACGTAGCGAGGCTAGGAATCCAGCTAAGGCAGCGAGTTGAACATATAATTTTTTCTCCGATCGTTCATAATGATATATATCTCTTTATTTTTCCTGTAGTGTTCAATTAGAATGAAATTTGATAGAAATCGCAGTTGTTGGAATGGTTGGTTGCTATGGAAATGTCCATAATAACTATAGTTTGACAATTCATGAAATTTTTGACAGTTGTGCGAAAAAATATCGGTATATTCGAATTATCATATAATGGACAGTGATAGCGACCTGGAAGAACTTACATCTCCAGAAATAAGGGAGGTGGCAAAAAATATAGAGTTGAATTTGTTGCCGGAGAGGTCTCGGATGAAATATGAAGGAAATTATAAACGATTTATGGATTATTAATTTTGCTGATAGATATCAATCAGCAAAGTAACCACTTTGCTGCCTAGGCAAGAAAAGTAATACTTTGCTGATTGATATGTGTCAGCAAAATTAATATTTGCTGCCAATCGGAGAAAATGAATGTACCACCTCCTCGATTAACGTACAGACAGTATTTAGGTTACTATTGCTCATATTTTTTTGGGACTATACTGGGTAATTCAATATTCGATGTAAGTAATTTAAGGACATATTGTTGGGATCAAAATAAGACTTTTTCTTCATATAAATATAAGCTACAGCCACTGTAAATAAGGCGAAAAAAAAAAAAAAAGATTATCTGAAACTGTGACTATAAAATAACGGATGAAATCTTCTGAAAATTGACTTGCCCCTGTTTTTGTAGACACGTCATTTTCTTCTTCCTTCCTACAATCGAATCAGCAGATGTCTACAATTGAATCTAATGATGGCTGCTATTGAATTTCCTGGGGCTATAATTGAATCTGCAGGTAGCTACAATCAAATTAACAGGTGGTTTCAATTGAATATACTGGTGTTTACAATTGAATTCACATGTGGCTACAATTGGCTATAATTCAATCTACAGGTGGCTATAATCGAATCTAAAGGTAGCTACAATAATATCTACAGGTGTTTATGAATGAATCAACAAGTGTCTACAATCGAATCTACAGGTGGCTACAACAATCGAATCTGAAGGTGGCTACAATCAGATCTACAGGTGTTTACAATCGAATCCATAGATGTATACAAACTAATCTACAGGGGCTACAATTGAATCTACAGGTGGTTACAATTGAATCAACAAGATGCATATTGCTGATGTGTTCAATATTTGCACTTATTTCAATGCCACTTTCTCGTATTCCATATAGTGGTGGTGCTCTACAATCACAGGTAAAATTTCCTTGGATCGCTTTGTCCCTTCATTTTATAGAAACGAGAGAAAAATCCCAAAAAATCAAGTAAAACGAATGTACCACCTCCTCGGTTAACCTACAGACAGTATTCAAAAATCACATAATCTCTGATCTCCCCTTCCAGGCCTCACCCTGGACCACACCCTGTCGATGTCGGGCCCCGTCGCCCCGCAGTCCCCGCTCGACCTCAAGCCCGACGCGCACGCGCTGCAGTTCAGCCCGCAGGGAGGGCCGTGCAGCCCGGGCGCCTTCTCGCTGGGCGGGGCCCCTGGCATGCTCAGCCCGTCCGGAGGGGGCGGGGCCAAGGCGGCCGGCCCCGCCTCCCCTTATCCGCCCAACCACCCGCTCAGCGGCTCCAAGCACCTGTGCTCGATTTGCGGCGACCGCGCCAGCGGCAAGCACTACGGGGTGTACAGGTGAGTGAATCCGAAATTATTGAATCTACAGGTGGCTAGAATTGGTTCTACAGGTGGCTACAATTGAATCAACAGGTGGCTAGAATTGATTCTACAGGTGGCGACAATTATAATTGAAACTACAGGTTGCTGTAATCGAATCCACAAGGGGATACAATCGAATCTTTAAGTGTCACAATCGAATCTACAGGTAGTTACAAACGAATCTTCAAGTGGCTACAATCGAATCTAGAGGTTTCTAAGATTGAATCAACAGGTGGCTATAATGAATCTACAGGTGGCTACAATTGAATCAACAGGTGTATACGATTGAATCTACTGGTAGCTACAATCGGACCAACAGGTGGGTACAATAATTGCATCTGAAGGTGGCTACAATTAGATCTGCAGGTATCTACAATCGAATTCACAGATGTATACAAACAAAATCTACAGGGGTCTTCAATTGTATCTACAGGTGGCTACAATTGAATCAACAGGTGGCTAGAATTGATTCTACAGGTGGCCACTATTATAATTGGATCTACAGGTTGCTGTAATCGAATCTACAAATGGCTACAATCGAATCTACAGGTGTCTACAATCGAATGAGCAGATGTCTATAATTAAATCTACTTATGGCTACAATTGAATCCCCTGGGGGGTATAATTGAATCTACCGGTAGCTACAATCAGATCAACAGGTGGTTTCAATTGAATATACAGATAGTTTTCGAGATATCGACGCTCAAAGTCAGCTTTCCGTTTCCGTTGCCAATAGGAGCACTCCGGTAGGCTACTACGTCTCCATTTTCGAAAATTTCCCGATTTCCATCACAGATTCGTTCATTACGACATCGACTTAGTCTATGTGAATTTTTTCAGATTTTTAATAGGCAAAATACAAATTTTCATTTCCCCACCTGATACTTCACTACGATATAGTCACCGAGCCATCTTCGGACGGCCGAAAGTTCCAGAAAAAGGCGGAAATCCACGCGAATTATCGCTTTTTCAGTAGAAAATGACACGCTGAATCGAATGAGACCATGATCAACTCGATAAGATAGATAGTTTTCGAGATATCGGCGTTCAAAGTCAGCTTTCCGCTTTTATTGCCTATAGGAGCACTCCAGTAGGCTACTACGTCTCCATTTTCCAAAATTTCTTGATTTCCACCACAGATTCGTTCATAACGACATCGAATTAGTCTATGTGAATTTTTTCAGATTATCAATAGGCAAAATAAAAATTTTCATTTTCCCACCTGAGACTTCAGTACGATATAGTCACCGAGCCATCTTCGGACGGCCGAAAGTGCCATAAAATGGCAGAAATCCACGCGAATTATGGCTTTTCCAGTAGAAAATGGCACGCTGAATCGAATGAGACCATGATCAGCTCGATAGGACAGATAGTTTTTGAGATATCGACGCTCAAAGTCAGCTTTCCGCTCTTATTGCCAATAGGAGCACTCCGGTAGGCTACTACGTCTCCATTATCCAAAATTTCCTGATTTCCACCACAGATTCGTTCATAACGACATCGAATTAGTCTATGTGAATTTTTTCAGATTTTTAATAGGCCGTATAAAAATTTTCATTTTCCCACCTGAGACTTCAGTACGATATCGTCACCGAGCCATCTTCGGACGGCCGAAAGTTCCAGAAAAAGGCGGAAATCCTCGCGAATTATCGCTTTTTCAGTAGAAAATGACACGCTGAATCGAATGAGACCATGATCAACTCGATAGGACAGATAGTTTTTGAGATATCGACGCTCAAAGTCAGCTTTCCGTTTCCGTTGCCAATAGGAGCACTCAGGTAGGCTACTACGTCTCCATTATCCAAAATTTCTTGATTTCCACCACAGATTCGTTCATAACGACATCGAATTAGTCTATGTGAATTTTTTCAGATTTTTAATAGGCCGAATAAAAATTTTCATTTTCCCACCTGAGACTTCAGTACGATATAGTCACCGAGCCATCTTCGGACGGCCGAAAGTGCCTTAAAATGGCAGAAATCCACGCGAATTATGGCTTTTTTAGTAGAAAATGGCACGCTGAATCGAATGAGACCATGATCAGCTCGATAGGACAGATAGTTTTTGAGATATCGACGCTCAAAGTCAGCTTTCCGCTTTTATTGCCAATAGGAGCACTCAGGTAGGCTACTACGTCTCCATTATCCAAAATTTCCTGATTTCTACCACAGATTCGTTCATAACGACATCGAATTGGTCTATGTGAATTTTTTTCAGATTTTTAATAGGCCGAATAAAAATTTTCATTTTCCCACCTGAGACTTCAGTACGATATCGTCAACGAGCCATCTTCGGAAGGCCGAAAGTGCCAGAAAACGGCGGAAATCCACGCGAATTATCGCTTTTCCAGAAGAAAATGGCACGCTGAATCGAATGAGACCATGATCAGCCCGATATGACAGATAGTTTTCGAGATATCGACGCTCAAAGTCCTTTCCGCATTTATTGCCAATAGGAGCACTTCGGTAGGCTACTACTTCTCCATTTTCCAAAATTTCCTGATTTCCACCACAGATTCGTTCATAACGACATCGAATTGGTCTAAGTGAATTTTCTCAGATATTTAATAGGCCAAATAAAAATTTTCATTTTCCCACCTGAGACTTCAGTACGATATAGTCACCGAGCCATCTTCGGACGGCCGAAAGTGCCAGAAAACGGCGGAAATCCACGCGAATTATCGCTTTTCCAGAAGAAAATGGCACGCTGAATCGAATGAGACCATGATCAGCTCGATAGGACAGATAGTTTTTGAGATATCGACACTCAAAGTCAGCTTTCCGCTTTTATTGCCAATAGGAGCACTCAGGTAGGCTACTACGTCTCTATTTTCCAAAATTTCCCGATTTCCACCACAGATTCGTTCATTACGACATCGAATTAGTCTATGTGAATTTTTTCAGATTTTTAATAGGCCAAATAAAAGTTTTCATTTTCCCACCTGAGACTTCAGTACGAAATAGTCACCAAGCCATCTTCGGACGGCCGAAAGTGCCAGAAAATGGCAGAAATCCACGCGAATTATGGCTTTTTCAGTAGAAAATGGCACGCTGAATCGAAAGAGACTATGATCAGCCCGATATAACAGATAGTTTTCGAGATATCGACGCTCAAAGTCAGCTTTCTGCTTTTATTGCCAATAGGAGCACTCCGGTAGGCTACTACGTTTCTATTTTCCAAAATTTCCCGATTTCCACCACAGATTCGTTCATTACGACATCGAATTAGTCTATGTGAATTTTTTCATATTGTTAATAGGCAAAATAAAAATTTTCATTTTCCCACCTGAGACTTCAGTACAATATAGTCACCGAGCCATCTTCGGACGGCTGAAAGTGCCTGAAAACGGCGGAAATCCACGCGAATTATCGCTTTTCCAGTAGAAAATGGTACGCTGAATCGAATGAGACGATGATCAGCTCGATAGGACTGATAGTTTTTGAGATATCGACGCCCAAAGTCAGCTTTCCGCTTTTATTGCCTATAGGAGCACTCCGGTAGGATACTACGTCTCCATTTTCCAAAATTTCTTGATCCCCACCACAGATTCCTTCATTACGACATCGAATTAGTCCATGTGAATTTTTTCAGATTTTTTAATAGGCAAAATAAAAATTTTCATGTTCCAACCTGGGACTTCAGTACGATATAGTCACCGAGCCATCTTCGGACGGCCAAAACTGCCATAAAACGGCGGAAATCCACGCGAATTATCGCTTTTCCAGTAGAAAATGGTACGCTGAATCGAATGAGACCATGATCAGCCCGATATGACAGATAGTTTTCGAGATATCGACGCTCAAAGTCAGCTTTCCGCAAAGTCAGGATTTCAGAATGTTATGCAGGTTTTTTTCTGATATTTTGGAATGAAAGACCGAGTACCCTCGTTAAATCATTGAAAATATATATATTTTACTGCTCCAGTGAAATAGCGGTAGCTTGTTGAGAGATTTCATAAAATATGGGATTCACGTCAGTTATAAATTCGTGTTTGTTGGATTTCAGTAACATAGACAAAACAGTGCAATTACTCATTTCAAATTAACGAGTCTTCGCGTGAACGGTAATGCACAAAACAAATGCATCAAATTCAACTCAGTTAAATATTGAGGTCATCTTTATCATATCAAGAAACAAAGCACACCAGAGTAGGGGTGGGAAAATTTATCGATAATATCGATAACATCGATATTTATTGATAAAATTTTCGATAATTTTCGATAATATCGATACATTATGATTATCGATAATCCAAAATCACTATATTTTGAATTTTTGAAATTCAAATTGATGTATCTTATTTGATGACTCACATAATACATTATTCAAACTCAAGAAACCAATGTACCTAGTTATTTCAATAAAATCCTAGAAACGTCTAGAAGCATTGGTGTCCGCCCTTTCCCAAAATTAATTAAAATCGTACTCTAAAATTGCTTCACTCATTTTCATATAGATATGCATCGTATTACTCATAGATTTCAAGTTAGAGCATCTCAAAATAGGTGAATTTCTGTGTTGAAATGTGTTTGTTGAGATGTAGCTGGATACAGTGCTTGCACCAGACAGTTATATACCTCTGCATGTAATAATAATTATGAAAAATGAGTGGAATTGAATATAATTAATCCAATGAATCCGATATCGATTATACCTAATTGTTTTGCTGACTAACACGTGTAAATCGTGATTGATATTATTGACCTTCACGTGATAATAGAATAATTATCGAGTTGTGGTGGTTAAATATTTTTCTAAAGCAAAGTGTATGCATTTTTCCAAATTATGTTCGCTACCCAATGTAGAAAATTCACAGAAAAAACTAAAGCCATCTGTTTCTGTATATACTAAAGGAAAGATCTCTGAAAATAATAAGTAGTCATTATTTCGTGTCAATTATTGAAATCTACTCATTATGAATAAAAGCATCTCCAATTTTTGTTCAATCTGAGAAATGACTGTATTTTCAATGGATCCGGATCAAAATTCCTGTATCTGAAGCCTATTTTCGGCAAAAAACAAATAAGAGCCCCACAGCGAACCAACACCCTGTACCAGCATTTTCAAAACATTGTTCGACTATAGTCGAGTGACACCTCGTTGGAAACGCAATGATCCATTCTACAATAATATCCGGATGTAATCGAAACTCATCTTTCCGTTTTCCAGAAAATCAACGGTGTATGCCTGGGGACACCTGTTGCACGTTCTAATTTTTTTTTTCTCGAACTTCTGGAATTCCTTGTGACTCGCAGCACCCACCGATGGGATATTAATTCATTTTCCATAGGATTCACGGACAATGAACAGAGCAGCACGTTGATTCGTCCGCGTATCTAACTAGCGACTGTTCAGTTGCGATTCCAAGGCCGCTGTGATGCAATACTCGTGCGCGAGGCCATGGTCACGGTGTAATTCTTCTGTTTTGTCATTGCCAGGGCGATTGTCGACAAAGAGAGAGAGAGAGAGAAAAATAGAGAGATTTATGAAGATAGAAAAATCATGCTCGTTGCCTATTATTTGTTACGCTTCCTTTCATTGTAATGAGAAATAACGAGACATTTATTACGCGAGATGTGCAATTTTGTTTTACAGGGTGTGGCTGAAGGAAGGGTCAAGTTGTTTCACAAGTATATTGAAAAGTGATTCCATCATGTGTACAGGGTAGGCCAAATTGAACACTTTTAAAGGGAAAGTCCTATTCTTGAACCAAATGGAAGAAAACTGATGTCGGTGCCTTAGGGTCGATTCTCATGAAAAACTCAATGGTGAAATCCGCATATCGATATCTGTCATCGTTTCGGAGTTACAAGGTGTTCTTCGAAAATGGGCATTTTTGAAAAATGGCTACAGATATTTTTTTCAGCAAAAATTGTCTGCTCTTATGAAAATAAGTGCAATGCATTGAGTTTGTGATGAAAATTTATTTATTACATGGTGGTTTATGATTCAGAATTAGGATCACCCTGTATCTGTTCCAATTAGATGTCAATAAATAGTAAATCAAAAGTTAAGGCAGTGACATGCAAGCCGTTTTGACCAATCAGGAATAGTTTCGACACAAAAAAATCCCAAAGTTGAAAAATCTCGATTAGGAACACCCTATATCTCTGTAATCATTCCCGCTAGACCCCAAGTGTGATAGATCGATGAAATCAGCTCTTCAGGGAGAATCTGAAAATGCAATGACAGGAAGGGTGTCCCATTTGAAAAAAACAACTTTATACATATCTCTTTTTCCTAACACCCTGTATAACTCAATAATTTCAAATCGCACATACAAAGTTTCGACATCCAGCCAATCGGAAAAAAATCAGTGATATTCCATGGTGTCTCATAAAAACTCAGTGTTGTATCTTTTTCTGTATACTCTGTATATTTGGTGGAGGTGTACGAAAAAAATTATTAAATTGATGTGGAATTTTTTCGAATGGAAGGAAAACAAAAAAGATAAAGGGTGGTTCAGATTGATAAAACTAACCTTGTATCTGAATTGGGTCATTTATTCATTCGATATAAAGCGATTGTTTAGTTTAAAAAAAATGAAGACCGGATAAGGATCTAAAATTCTAATGTAGGTTAATTCAAGACATCCTTTGAGATCACTGGATAGCAGTAGAAGTTGTTATTATATGAACTTTTCTTTCTATTTTACGTTAAAATCTGAAACACCCTGTATGGTGTATCTAACAAGCAATGCATTTATGAAAAATTCGTAGGTATTGCCAGGTCCTTGAATGAAAATATCTAGAATATATTCATCGCTTTTTTGTAACTGGTTTCAATGCCAATTTACCTATTTTATTTTTCTTGGCTACAGCTACTGACTCAACATTTCCGATTTTCATCCATGCAAGTAAAATATCACCTGTTCAGTTTCTATTTCTAGTACTTTGACATTGTCGTGAACTCTAGAACTAGATTTTGCACAAGTACAACTACTCTCTAATATACATATACAAAATTATCACAAGTTTTTGACCTGAAGAAAATTTCTCCTACTAAGGTTTTTCATCCGCTTGAGATATGACAAACAAATATAATCAGAGGGGTTTACATGTGAAACATGATCCCTGGTATATTGTATTTTTCATCCAAACTTGAAGATCATAAAAAATACTACTAATTTGATAAGTTACCAATAGTGGACACTGGATTTGGATATCGCTGTATTTGAATAACCCTGTATTTGAATAACCCTGTATAAAATCCATCGACTTTTCTAGATCACCTTAAATGAGGTTTGACTATGGCAAAATCAACTTGTATTAGTTTGTGATATAAACGCAATGAGATATGTTATGCCACAAGGGTCCGTTTCGGGGCCAATCGTTATGAGTAGATGATAGATGACGTTTATCTTTTGCAGCTGTGAAGGATGCAAAGGGTTCTTCAAAAGAACAGTCCGGAAAGATCTGTCCTATGCTTGCAGAGAAGAAAAAAATTGCATCATCGACAAAAGACAAAGAAATAGGTAAGACACACTCAAAAAATGTAGATATTCATTTTTACAAAGTTGGATATTGTATTGAGAAAATAAGAAGTACGAGTTTGTTCATCAGTTGAAAAATATAAAGAATTTCTTATAATTTCCATTGCTTTTTTCACTATTAAAAAATAGTTTATTTAAGATTATTTTACTATTCAAGAAATATACTATTCCTTGAAATAGTTTAATTCAAACTTACTTAATTTTCATAAAAGTATGGTTATTTAATTTCAAGATTAATTTCAATTTTAGTATCGCAGCTAGAGCAATTTACATTACAATTTACATCGTTTGTAATTTCTTATCTTCAGATTGAACTTGTAATCAGTAGATAATTAAAATTACACTTTTGCACGATCGATCGTGAAAAAATATTAATTAATTACCGTTTTTTTTTCGTCCTTGTGATTTATGATATATTGGGTGTATTTTCTTAAGGTGTCAGTACTGCCGCTACCAAAAATGCTTGGTGATGGGCATGAAGCGAGAGGCAGTGCAGGAAGAAAGACAGAGAACCAAGGAGAGAGACAACTCCGAAGTTGAATCGACTTCCAACATACAAACCGAGATGCCGATAGAGAGGCTCCTGGATGCGGAAAAAAGAGTGGAGTGCAACGATCCACCAATACCACTAGAGGTGAGGAAAATTACATCGACATATATTATGAAGATCCATCAAATAGCGCCTCAATAAAAGTTGTATATATAAAAAAAGGAGATATTATCATTTCATACATTTTAAAATATTTTGCTAGCCGCACGAATCTTTTTTTGGTGATAACCCGATTGATCCCGTACTATCGTCCACAGCAAAATTTGGTTTGTCTAGTGCTAGTCAGTGGATCATCTTTTTCATTTTCTGTGCATTGTCAAACAATGTAGCAAGATTTTTATGGTGAGTGTCGCCAACAGTGTAGCAGCAGCATTTCGTTTTTACACATCATCACACAGAGAATGTTCGTTAATTTGGTGCAACGGTGTCTTGACACAGGGTGTTTGATGAAACAAAGAGGAGGAACATTTGAGAAAACCTGTACCACCCGAAATGGAGATTTTGTCTATCTTGATGAGTTCTACATCCTGTTTAATTTTAGGACAATCAGGAAAAAAATATTTTTCGACCTGCATTCACAGAAGAACTAGGGTCATCTGTTTCTGTACCTACTGAAGAAAAGATCTGTGAAAATAATTAGTAGTCATTATTTCGTGGCAATTGTTGAAATCTACTCTTTATGAGTAAAAGCATCTCCAATTTTTGTTCAGTCTGAGAAATGACTGTATTTTCAATGGATCCGGATCAAAATTCCTGTATCTGAAGCCTTTTTTCGGCAGAAAACAAATGAGAGCCCCACAGCGAACCAACACCCTGTACAAGCATTTTCAAAACATTGTTCGACTATAGTCGAGTAACACCTCGTTGGAAACGCAATGATCCATTCTACAATAATATCCGGATGTAATCGAAACTCAACTTTCCGTTTTCCAGAAAATCAACGGATCATCTTTTTCATTTTCTGTGCATTGTCAAACAAAGTTTACGAAAATAATGAACTTGTTGACATACTTTTGATTTTTATGGTGAGTGTCGCCAACAGTGTAGCAGCAGCATTTCGTTTTTACACATCATCACACCGAGAATGTTCATTGATTTGGTGCAACGGTGTCTTGACACAGGGTGTTTGATGAAACAAAGAGGAGGAACATTTGAGAAAACCTGTACCACCCGAAATGGAGATTTTGTCTATCTTGATGAGTTCTACATCCTGTTTAATTTTAGGACAATCAGGAAAAAAATATTTTTCGACCTGCATTCACAGAAGAACTAGGGTCATCTGTTTCTGTACCTACTGAAGAAAAGATCTGTGAAAATAATTAGTAGTCATTATTTCGTGGCAATTGTTGAAATCTACTCTTTATGAGTAAAAGCATCTCCAATTTTTGTTCAGTCTGAGAAATGACTGTATTTTCAATGGATCCGGATCAAAATTCCTGTATCTGAAGCCTTTTTTCGGCAGAAAACAAATGAGAGCCCCACAGCGAACCAACACCCTGTACAAGCATTTTCAAAACATTGTTCGACTATAGTCGAGTAACACCTCGTTGGAAACGCAATGATCCATTCTACAATAATATCCGGATGTAATCGAAACTCAACTTTCCGTTTTCCAGAAAATCAACGGATCATCTTTTTCATTTTCTGTGCATTGTCAAAGAAAGTTTACGAAAATAATGAACTTGTTGACATACTTTTGATTTTTATGGTGAGTGTCGCCAACAGTGTAGCAGCAGCATTTCGTTTGTACACATCATCACACCGAGAATGTTCATTGATTTGGTGCAACGGTGTCTTGACACAGGGTGTTTGATGAAACAAAGAGGAGGAACATTTGAGAAAACCTGTACCACCCGAAATGGAGATTTTGTCTATCTTGATGAGTTCTTCATCCTGTTTAATTTTAGGACAATCAGGAAAAAATATTTTTCGACCTGTATTCACAAAAGAACTATGGTCATCTGTTTCTGTACCTACTGAAGAAAAGATCTGTGAAAATAATTAGTAGTCATTATTTCGTGGCAATTGTTGAAATATACTCTTTATGAGTAAAAGCATCTCCAATTTTTGTTCAGTCTGAGAAATGACTGTATTTTCAATGGATCCGGATCAAAATTCCTGTATCTGAAGCCTTTTTTCGGCAGAAAACAAATGAGAGCCCCACAGCGAACCAACACCCTGTACAAGCATTTTCAAAACATTGTTCGACTATAGTCGAGTGACACCTCGTTGGAAACGCAATGATCCATTCTACAATAATATCCGGATGCAATCGAAACTCAACTTTCCGTTTTCCAGAAGATCAACGGATCATCTTTTTCATTTTCTTTGCATTGTCAAACAAAGTTTACGAAAATAATGAACTTGTTGACGTACTTTTGATTTTTATGGTGAGTGTCGCCAACAGTGTAGCAGCAGCATTTCGTTTGTACACATCATCACACCGAGAATGTTCATTAATTTGGTGCAACGGTGTCTTGACACAGGGTGTTTGATGAAACAAAGAGAAGGAACATTTGAGAAAACCTGTACCACCCGAAATGGAGATTTTGTCTATCTTGATGAGTTCTACATCCTGTTAAATTTTAGGACAATCAGGAAAACATATTTTTCGACCTGTATTCACAGAAGAACTATGGTCATCTGTTTCTGGACCTACTGAAGAAAAGATCTGTGAAAATAATTAGTAGTCATTATTTCGTGGCAATTGTTGAAATCTACTCTTTATGAGTAAAAGCATCTCCAATTTTTGTTCAGTCTGAGAAATGACTGTATTTTCAATGGATCCGGATCAAAATTCCTGTATCTGAAGCCTTTTTTCGGCAAAAAACAAATGAGAGCCTCACAGCGAACCAACACCCTGTACAAGCATTTTCAAAACATTGTTCGACTATAGTCGAGTGACACCTCGTTGGAAACGCAATGATCCATTCTACAATAATATCCGGATGTAATCGAAACTCAACTTTCCGGTTTTCAGAAAATCAACGGATCATCTTTTTCATTTTCTGTGCATTGTCAAACAATGTAGCAAGTTTACGAAAATAATGAACTAGTTGACATACTTTTGATTTTTATGGTGAGTGTCGCCAACAGTGTAGCAGCAGCATTTCGTTTGTACACATCATCACACCGAGAATGTTCGATTAATTTGGTGCAACGGTGTCTTGACACAGGGTGTTTGATGAAACAAAGAGGAGGAACATTTGAGAAAACCTGTACCACCCGAAATGGAGATTTAGTCTATCTTGATGAGTTCTCCATCCTGCTTTAATTTTAGGACAATCAGGAAAAAACTATTTTTCGACCTGTATAAGCCTACTGCATTGCGTAAACCGCTGATCTTGAAAATCTGAATGAAAAGTCTCTACTTAATGTGACTCCGGATTCTTTCTTTACGGGTCTGAATTAGTGTCATAGTATTTTTTGGGATTTTTAGGGCAATCAGAAAAAAATATTTTTCGACATGCTATGGAAATCTAAAATACTCCTTTTGGAAATTTCAGCGCGGAGTCCTAAACTATTTATTTCCAAAGATGTGCTACGGACTTTTGCTGAAAAAAAAAACATTTTTGAAATCGGATGTAAAACATGTTCCAGCCACGACTTCCCATTAATTCCAGACACGCGTCATACCACCACAGAACTCAAAAGACCGAAATATCAATCAGACTTTGACACTCTGTATCTCAGAAACGAAATACTTGCGGACATATTTTTATACGAACTTTTCTTCTTATTTTGACGTCAGCAACATGCTCCTGGATTTTTTACACGTACTTCAGAAACACCCTGTATATTTTCGTAGATGATTTTTCACTTTTCATATTGTGTAATATTGTGAGATATACACATCAAGTGCCATCAGAGGAACACATCTATGGAAGAAAATTCAAATCCACGTGTATTTTGAAAGAGTTATGATTACTTTTTCCGAAATTCACAAAAAGTTGTCCTGTGGGGCTTATTCTTGTCCCACAACATATTGTGATATATACAGATTATGAAGGACCCTTAGAGGTTCATATTAATGGAAAATAGCGAGGAAAATAGTTTCATCCACGGATATATTTTGGAGGTGTTAGTCATTTCATGGCCAGCCATGAGTATAGATGATCTCTCTGAATTCTAACAAAATGGTCAAAGGGAGTTGAAAATTGAATAAATATGTTTCAGCTCTGAATATAAACAAAAATATTTGGAATCATGGAAAAACTTCTGATAAATAAATGAGAGAAATTTTCTAGGAGGCTGAGCATATTTCCTCGATAGTAGTTTGTTTTGTTTACACGTCAATGTTCTGGTGACCTTGCATTCTCGATTCGATTACATTAATTCGTTCTAAATTTAATCTTTCTCGCGTTTATTCAGCAATGGATGTTTGTTCAAAATGCAAAACACTCGTTATGAATGCACATGCAAATGTTTCAATCGATCAACGTAGGCTGATTTATGATCGAACGTCCGGTGATTGATATCGACATTGACAGGTTTCACTGTTCAAATTTTTCACCATGGAGCCTTGTTTTTATTGGCATTCAGGATTTTGGCTCTAAATGTTCCATAACCATTCATTCACTGCCCGTTTTTTGGCTCATTTGGATTTTTCACCACATTTTGCCAGTATTCATAGTTTGTCTGAAATCTTCATAACTACATGAACATGAATGTTAACGAATATACAACATTTTATGCTTAGCCAAAGGGAATCTGTACCATGATTAGTCATGACACATGAGTCCCATCCCCTGAAGCTATGATCCTTACAATGAGAAATCTCCGAGGTGAACACAGTTAGGTTAGAGGTGAATACGAACATTGGCATGATGAAAATTAACGTTAGGGCGAGGAAAAACAAAACCGAAACCCTCTTGAGTTGGTTTGTCGCTTCGGACACGGCACTCATCGCTTATATCCGCAAGCCACGCCCAGAATCGTCCGATAGGGCGATGCCTACGCTTTTGCGATTTCTCTTTTTATTTTTCTTCGTTCTGGTGCGCATGGTGAACTGGGCGCGCATAAAATTCACCAGAACATTTTTAACAAAGTGTAGAATCATAGAAATGTATGTTGTCTTTTATTTTCGTTAATTTGACTCCTTTTGGTGACCTGCATACACATTTTACTCATAATTAAACTATGCAAACTATTTAATTCATCCAGTGAGCCATGTGATAGTTTTTCTTGCATATTTTGAACTGAATGGATCTTGATTAATTTACGCTGGTATAGTTTGTTGAATGAGTGAAATTGCAAGGCGTTTTGCTCGGAGACTGATAGTCTGTATTCAAGAGGTCTGAATTCATTTGGAGCCCTAGAATAGGATAACTATGGACTTCAGCATTTCGTCGGTTTACTATCAAAACCTCCTAAGTCCGAATTCTAGAGAATTTTAGGTTTTGAACATTTTCACCATCTACAAAATTCAGCGCACCCATCACCAAATCATCATAAGTCTATGTTTATGGTAGCGACATCTATTAGATATAATCTAAACCTCCTAACTCTACTCGTAGAGATTTTGAACTCAAGAGTCTGCAAGAGAGGATAAGGTTAAATTGTGCTTGTTGAGAAAGTATAAAGCTCTATTGTTTGAATCATTATTTGAAGTGAAATCCATGTCAGACACCAAAGTAAGTTTATGATGAACTATTTGGTCAATCTTCTCGAATATTTCTACAGTTATGCGAAGGAAAATCTTGTTTTGATTCTTCATGTGGACAGACTTACGAAGTAATAAGACAGACATATCCTCCCACTTGACCCATAGTGGAATTCTACCCCCTCTACCGTAGTCCGGTGGTGTTTTTTAATAACCACTACCCCCTGGAATCCAACCCAATTAGTGAGGCACCAGGCCATATGTACGGCCTGATGGGGCTATTCTCGTCCCCCCATAGTACCCATGTCAACAAGATTCCTCTTGTTACGTTTGAAAATGGAGATACAAGGAATATCCTCGAGCCACGCCCAGAATCGGCCGATCGTCATTCTTCTTTTTCTTTCTTAGAGCGCTGTGACGAATATCCGGCAGGCCACCAACAAACACCTCGTTCTCATGGTGGACTGGGCACGTATGATCCCGCACTTCACGTCTCTGCCGCTGTCAGATCAGGTGCTGCTGCTCAGAGCCGGGTGGAACGAGCTGCTGATCGCGGCCTTCTCGCACCGATCGGTGCATGCGCAGGAGGGGATCGTCTTGGCCACCGGATTGACAGTCAACAAGTGAGTCTCTTCGAATTGCCACAACTATCGAAGAATGATAAAAAGTTGGTTCATGTGTTTGTAACTAACTTCTGATTTTAACCGTGTTGCGAAATTCAACAAGTGATTTCCATCAAGGTAACATAGTTTGCGTGGATCAGTGAATCTGAATAATACTTGTATTTTATTCATTGAACCTCGCATTGGACAACCAATCCTTGAATCAATCATTTGATGAAGATTCATCAGTTGGTGAATACAGCAGTTCAACTAGCCTTGAGAGAGAAAAAAATTTCTTCCCCATCTGCCCTGTAAAATAATGTAAATTTTATGTTGGTAACATCGAAAATGGGAAAAAATGGAGAAGATCATATTAACCTCAATCAAGGTGGATGGAATATGGTGTAATCACAGATAGTGTTTGTTTTCTCCCAAAACGCTTGACCGCAGATTCCGCAATAATGGCATATTAGTTCTCAGTTGTCCGCAAGATGGCGACACTTTTTAAAGATTTCCTTCCTTTCCCCATAATAATATCATACCATTCATAACCTGACCTCAAATCAAATGATATTAAATTTGAAAGTACGAAACTGTAATTTTGGTGAATTCTAATTATCATTAATTCCACTAACCTTGAATTTTGGATGAGATATCACCATCTAACGGGTAAAATGCGAACTATATTCCGCGATATGGAAAAGAATCCTTCTGTCAAGTAGCCTGTAGGTCAAAAACTTTGACCGAAAAACAGTAGATGGCCTTTGATAGGAGTTTCTTCACCATCTTCTGTTCTTCCTGACCTCAATATAAGAGATGATGGAATGGTCTTCTTCTCCATTTTATCTCATTTCCAGAGTTGCCAATATAAAATTTCCATTATTTTATGTTGGGCCACTGAAGACAAGGACAGATGGGGATGGGGAAGACATGTTCTCGAAGTCTCAAAGCTAGCTATTCAACTTCATAACTTTTTCTTACTTTGTCATCTCTCTAAAAATCCACACCCAACTAGGTAGTTAATGAAGTAAAACATGAAAAATTATGGGTGATGAATAGAAAAAATATAAATATTTCACTCAATGTTGAAAGTTTAATTCCTCAGAACTAATAATCTTATTTAAGTAGTTTTCAAACTCAGTTCACTGAAGATTGATTATAACCGTTCTGATTTTTATTATGCATAAACGTCAATGTTTCCTTTTTCTTCAAGGTCAACTGCACATGCTGTTGGAGTGGGTAACATTTATGACAGGGTGTTGTCTGAGCTGGTGAATAAGATGAAAGAGATGAAAATGGACAAAACTGAGCTGGGCTGCTTGAGAGCTATCATCCTCTACAATCCAGGTGAGAAAATATTGCCTTGTAGATGGAAAATATTTAAAAAAACATGCCACAGTGTCCATTAACTTCCAAGATTTTTTAGAATCCATTGAATGTTTGTCTGCGAATTAGTTTATCTACTATTTTGACACCATAACCATATAAACAACACTTCTTTTGGTAAAACTGCATACATCATGCGATGGGTTTTTTATCGAGAATTTTGTTGGTACTTATGTATTTTTGTCTGAAAAACATGAATTTGATGATGAAAATGTGAACCAACCACTATTTATCGAGATATTTCAAGAAAAAGTTCGAAATTTCGCCATGCTCTTCCTATTTTGTCATTGGACACTTCATATTTACATATACTCATGATGTACTTCAGTGACACATTTTTATATAGAAAAATCTGGATACACCCTGTATACCCGAAAACACACTAAAACCTTCTGTTTGAATTATTCCGCAGTTTGGATTTTTTTTAGGCTAATTTCAGTGGACTATGAGGAATACATAATGTTCTTCAAAAAGCAAAAAAAAAAATTCAAAAAAGAGCAACGAGTAAAAAACGCGATTTTTCCAGACGTCAGAGGCCTCAAGTCCATCCAGGAAGTGGAAATCCTTCGCGAGAAAATCTACGGCGTCCTCGAAGAGTACACCCGCTCCACGCATCCCAGCGAGCCTGGCCGATTCGCCAAACTCCTTCTGCGGCTGCCCGCGCTGCGCTCCATAGCGCTCAAGTGCTCCGAGCACCTGTTCTTCTTCCGACTGCTCGGTGACGTCACCATCGACAGCTTTCTCACCGACATGCTGGAGAACCCGTCGGACGCCTAGGCCGGCTAGCCGACCCGATCTCGTCTTTATCGAGAACGGATGGCTGACCTGATTTCGTCTTTATCGAGGTCGAGATGCGTGAAAACTTTGGTCAATAATCGTGTGAAAATTTCATTGAAAGCTCTGAAACCCATATAAAAAGTGTCGAAACTGTTGAGAAAGCTTCGAAACTTTCATAAAAAGCTTCGATACTTTCATTAAAAGCTTCGAGACTTTCGTAAATGATTTGAAACTTTCATAAAAAGCTTTGAAACTCGCATAAAAATCTCCGATACGTCCATAAAAAGCTTCGAAACTTTCATATAAAGCTTCGAAACTTTCATAAAAAGCTTCGAAACTTCCATTGAACGTGTAACGTTCATAAAATCATTCGAAACTAAGCTCAAAACTTCCATACCACCAACGTTGAAGTTTAGGAATTTAATTAACGTATTAACAATTTATGAATATATATAATGATGATTATGGTCGAAGTTACGGATTCAAATCAACGCGGAACGTTAAAAAACAGTTGAAGAATCGAATTGACATATAAAACTGAAGTTACAGATTGAAATCAGTTTATGGAACTTTCCAAAAAGTTTCAAGACTGCTCAAAACGTTCATAAACTATCATCGTTGAAGTAACGGAATGAAATCGGCATACAAAACTCGCATAAAAGCTAATAACGTTGAAGTTACGGAATGAAATCGGATATGAAACTTTCGATGTATTATCGACGTTAAAGTAACTCTTCGAAATCAACATGAAACGTTCATAAAGATTTCTGTAACTGAGCTCAAAACTTTCATAAATCATACAGCTCATGAGCTCAAATGCTCCGAGGACCCGATTTCGTCTTTATCGAGGTCGAAATGCGTGTCAACTTTTGTCAATAAGCGTGTTTCAAACTTTCATAAAAAGCTATACAACTTTCATAAAAATCTATACAACTTTCATGAAAACTTTTGCCACATATAAAAACCTTTGATAGCCATCTCATGAAAGTTCACAATGTAACTGTTTAAAATTAACGTGAAACGCTCATAAAAAGTTCTAAACCAAACTTTAAACGTCTATAAATCATCAACGTTGAAGTAACTGATGGCAATCAACGTAAAACGTTCATAAAGACCTTGGTAACTGAGCTCAACACTTCCATAAAAAATCAACGTTGAAGTTCTTGATTGAAATCAATACGTGCGTGAAACGTTCATAAAAATGTTCGGAACTGAGCTTGAAACTTTCATAAACTATCAACGTTGACGTTGCGGATTGAAATCAATTTGAAACGTTAATAAAAATCATCGTCGTTGAAGTTAGGGAATGAAACCAACATATGAAACTCATAAGTTTTGACGTTAGAGTTACAAATTGAAATCAAACTTTCATAAACGATCAACGTTGAAGTTAGTTATCAAAATCAACGTAAAACGTTAATAAAAACCAGGGAAACTTTGGACGATCAGTGTGTCCGAAACTTTAATTAATATTCGACTCTGAAGGTCCAGAGTGTAAACATCTTATGGAACTTCATAAAGTAAACGATTGAAATCAACTTCAAACGTTCATAAAAATGTTCGGAATTGAGCTTCAAACTTTAATAAACTATCAACGTTGGAGTTCCGGATTGAAATCAATTTGATACGTTGATAAAAATCATCGTCGTTGAAGTTAGGGAATGAAACCAACATATGAAACTCATAAATTTTGACGTTGGAGTTACAAATTGAAATCAAACTCTCATAAACGTTCAACGTTGAAGTTAGTTATCAAAATCAACGTGAAACGTTCATAAAAACCGTGGAAACTTTTGGACGATCAGTGTGTTCGAAACTTTCATTAATATTCAACTCTGAAGGTACAGAGTGTAATCATCGTATGGAACTTCATAAAGTAAACGATTGAAATCAACGTCAAACGTTCATAAAAATGTTCGGAACTGAGCTTGAAACTTTCAATAACTATCAACGTTGAAGTTCCGGATTGAAATCAATTTGATACGTTAATAAAAATCATCGTCGTTGATGTTAGGGAATGAAACCAACATATGAAACTCATAAGTTTTGACGTTGGAGTTACAAATTGAAATCAAACTTTCATAAACGATCAACGTTGAAGTTAGTTATCAAAATCATAAAAACGGTGGAAACTTTGGACGGTCAGTGTGTTCGATACTTTCATTGATATTCGACTCTGAAGGTGCAGAGTGTAATCATCTCATGGAACTTCATGAAGTAAACGATTGAAATCAACGTCAAACGTTCATAAAAATGTTCGGAACTGAGCTTGAAACTTTCATAAACTGTCAACGTCGAAGTTCCGGATTGAAATCAATTTGGACACGTTAAAAAAAATCATCGACGTTGAAGTTAGGGAATGAAACCGACATATGAAACTCATAAGTTTTGACGTTGGAGTTACAAATTGAAATTAAACTTTCATAAACGATCAACGTTGAAGTTTCTGATTAAAATCAATATGAAACGTTAATAAAAACTGTGGAAACTTTGGACGATCAGTGTGTGCGAAACTTTCAATAATATTCGACTCTGAAGGTACAGAGTGTAATTATTTTATGGAACTTCATAAAGTAAACGATTGAAATCAACTTTGAACTTTCATAAAAATGTTAGAAACTGAGCTTAAAACTTTCATAAATCGTCAAAGTTGAAGTTCCGGATTGAAATAAATTTGAAACGTTAATAAAAAACTTCGACGTTGAAGGTAGGGAATTAAACCATAACTTTCGACATTTAATTGAAGTAGAAGATACAAAATCGCATTATCTTTTTACTTTAATTTCAGAAATTCCGGAGGCTTGGAAGATATAATGAATGAATGACTACTAAATGAAAAATTGAAATATTCATCAATCTTGTTTAATATTTTTTACTGTTCTTGGAAAATTAATTTGGAACTTGGCGAAATAAATTTCAGATTTTTTCAGATTGACCGAAGTTTTCATCTATCTCTATCCATACAAATCTGTGATTTTTATGTAATGATTTTCTTCTTTGGATTATGGTATTATTAGCTCTTAGCTATCATTATTGTAACTTTACTTTGTGAGTGTTGTTCTAGAGGAGAGACATGGCATTTATTGTAATTTGTTGTTTATGGAAATCAAGAAAAATTTATTTATAAATCGAAAAAATTAATCGGACTTTTACTGTTGGCTGTTTGAACTTTATGGTTGTTAACGAGTTTTATTATGAAAATTTTCAGGATGTTTTCTAAGTGCAATAACGTTTTCAAATCATCTTTTGCCATTTTTTAGATGCTTTGTTTATAGCATACATTGGTTGAACGGGGCAAACGTGAGTCATTAGTGTCAAGGAACACAATGATACATTTGAACTACGTGATCCAGTTGTTTATAAACAAATGGGATGTGAGAGTGAAGTGTTCTTATTTATCTTTTTCTCTTTCTCCTTAATTCATTTGGTTTTCAAATGATAAACGAATGGAACTTGCTGATATTCTTTAAAATGTATATAGTTTGTATAACTTTGTTTGCATAAAATGCAATGTGTAAAATTTCACCAAAAAGTCTTTTACTGCACTTTTATTTTCAAACCACATTCAATTTTTATTGACTTTCAATGTGTTTTTACCGTTTCCAAAGTGTTGCATTAACACTGTTTAGTGCTATATTCTCACATGTTTTCTCTAATAATAATCCTCAAAAACTGTTCTACTCCATTTTCCTTAGAATGGTGTCCAATTATTATGATGATCTGAATATGTGGGAGATATACAGGGTCTCCCAAAAGAACCGGAACGGCCGAATATTTCAGCGACGGTTTGACATGAAATTATGAAATTTGGTATACGGGGGTAATCAGTTGTGCTGGATCTAAAAATAAGATTTGCAACGTTGCCAGTTTTACAGTTTTTCCTATAAAGCCCTCAACTTTATTTTTTTAAATGTAATGCTATGTTTATTTTTAGCGCATTCGATTTGTCGTCTCAAAACTACTATGACCCTATAATATCAAATTTGTTTCCCCTTTATTTTTGTTAATATGACAAATGAACATTTCGTCAAAAAATATCACAAAATTTCAATATTTCGAGAAATCGTGGCGATATGACAGTAAAAATTAATTTACAAGGAAGTTTTCAGCAAGTCTGATCGAAAAATACCATTTACAACGTTGCCAAATCTACATGTTGTTTATTCTAAATCTTCCTAAGTATTTATTTAAACTGCCTTTTCAATTATTGAGCATTTTATTTCATGCCATGAAGTTACATTCTTGTAACCTAAACAAATCAAACCCTATTGATCATGAGAAGCTATCAAGAAGTTTATGAATTAGTTTCCCGAGAAACAAATAAAAAAATCTAGAGTTTGCCGATCTATTAAAAAGGCAGTTCAAATAAATACTTAGGAAGATTTAGTATAAACAACATGTAGATTTGGCAACGTTGTAAATGGTATTTTTAGATCAGTCTTGCTGAAAACTTCCTTATAAATTAATTTTTATTGTCATGTCGCCACGATTCCTCGAAATATTGAAATTTTGTGATATTTTTTGACGAAATGTTCATTTGTCATATCAACAAAAATAAAGGGGAAACAAATTTGATATCATAGGGTCATAGAAGTTTTGAGACGACAAATCGAATGCGCTAAAAATAAAAAAATGAAGTTGAGGGCTCTATAGGAAAAGCTGTAAAACTGGCAACGTTGCAAATATTATTTTTAGATCCGGCACAACTGATTACTCCCGTATACCAAATTTCATAATTTCATGTCAAGCCGTTGCTGAAATATTCGGCCGTTCCGGTTCTTTTGGGAAACCCTGTATATGTAAATATATATTTATGAAAAGTGATTGAGAAGTGCCTAGGGGCTCAGTGTTGCGGGATATGTACAATTTTGCTTTGATTCGACCTGAGATGCTCAAAATACAGTTAGGTTCAAGATTCAACAGTGTAGATACAAAAAAAATACAATTGATCTTCAAATATTTTTTTTGTGTAGTTATTTTAACGAAATTTGCAGCAATCGGCAGCTGTATCTGGAGAGATATAGAAGACATTCCAACTGTTCAAAATAGAGAGGGTAGAAATTTGAAATTGAGAGGTTGGCCTATGCATATTGTTATTGAATGTACAATTTCCTTTGAAATGTTTAGGATATACCTTCTACTTATAATAGGCTCCCGATATCTAACACCTGTTGACGTTTCAAGATTTTTAATTGTTAATTATTCCTAATGAAACATAGTCTATAGTTGATTATCAAGTATTCTCTAAATGTACAATAAATAATTAAAAGAAAAATGTATTGATAGTTTGTTATTCCCGATAAACAAAGAAGGACCCATTTATTTACATCGTAATGTGAAGCCAGAGAATACGGTCACAGTCACGTCACAGTATATCACCTGATGTTGAATTGAAGGTTGTCACGTCGCTAATAATTCCTAACCTCAGTCTAATCCTCTCAAGTATTTTTACTTACCTCTTTTGTAATCATCTATTCAATTAGCTGTTAATTATGATCCAATTCATAGATCTCAAGGAAAAAAATCATATTTCCGTAGATAGTCACAATCAAATATTATAAAACTGTCGTTATACATTATTTCAAAGTTATTCTGTAAAGGTTACCGAGATTATACACAACCGACAACGCCGCTGCAAAACAGGCTCGTTTCGTGCTTTCGGTGAGTTCGGCGTTGTTTGTTTATGTTTTTGAGGAAGTTTATTGTTTTCGTTGTTTTTGAGTGCATGAATTCTTATTTTTTTTGTGAAAAGTTGATGGACAGAGACTAATAATGGTGTTACACTGCTGGATTTGCGAAAAAGCGAAAAAACAAAGTTTTTACACCCAAATCTCACCTTCCATTCGTAAGTACTATTTGTTTACATGTTTGAATTAGAGTTTCATAGGCGTAAAAGATACAGAACTTTCAATGATTCCTTATATAGTACCGAAATTCCATTATTTTAATAATCTATGCGTACCAGTTCACTACACCACAGTTATATAAAATCCATTATTCAATATGTGAAAACCAGAAATCGGAAAAAACGTTTCTATAGGTAGGTAGGCATCAAAGATAGTATTTTCGCCAACTCAATTTATAATTTTCCAATAGATGAAAGGTTTTGTCGGAACACAAAACTGTATTTGTTATGTTCACTTGGTATAACCCATAGTGACCCGGATATAGTGATTGGTACTCAGTTTTTAGTCGCTCTTTGCATTTTGGATTCCGAAATTTACTATCACGATAATTCATTTTCGCACGCCGCTGTCGTATGAGGAAATAGCACAGTCTATCGTTACCGTTACCCTTCCCCTCAACCCGCTAGCCTACATCTCTAAGACTACAAAACATTATAATCTGAAAGTATAGAGTTGCTGTGTCCTTCTTTTTTATACGTCCACCATTCCTGTTTCCTGGGGTTTTGTAAGGAATAAAAAATGTCATAAGGGTTTATCATATTTATTTAAATCCACCCACACTTTGGTACAAAACCTTCAATAAATTAAAAAAAAAACAATAATGTACAACTAAACTACATCCCTTCATAATTCAGTATGCACTGAATGCATATGCTTTGCCGCCAAATCCACAGCATGCAAAAACACCCCCTCAGCAGTCTGCCAGTGCACAGAACCAGAAGAAGAATGCAGCCCTATCACCTCCATCTGCCCATTGATAGGTCTCCCAAAAGTCCTCCCAGATATAGCCAAATACATCTGGGTATCCACATGCTTCAGCATGACACTATCATCTCTCCTCCAGCTGTCCCCTGAGCACACCACAGTCCAGTTGTCCCCCGAGTCCCCTTCACCACTGTCCCCATAACAACTGATCTCCTGGTTGCCGCTCAAGGGGCTCTGGAAGTTATGGGAGTGCAGGTTCTTCTTCGTTTCAACGTGTTCTAGTCTGATTACTGAGCCGCATTTGATGGGCTGGCCGCGTTCGCAGGTCTTTCCTGTGCCCCCTTTAACTAACCAATGACTGTTTATGTCTTCCTGTATCTCTGTGCCTGTCACGGATTGTTGGCCGCTGCCTGTGCCGTATTTCACGTCATGCGAATGCAGTCTTACTCGGTAGTCTGTGTTGAGGAGCTTCAAGACCGATCCGCAAGTTACGAATTTTTGGGTGGACGCTGGAAAAAGACGGAGTTTGAATTTTGTTGCCACGGACGTGGACCAATCAGAATCGTACACACGACTGAGGTTAGGTTAGGTTTTGTCAGGAAATTCATTATTGTTGTGTACTCACCTTGTATTTGCTGGATATCTTGAATTAAGTATATCAGGAAAAAAACGTGAGCTTTCAGATGTGGGGGTATCATTTTTGTAGAATAGAAAGTAGCAGGAATATTCAATAACGATTTTCAATGAAGTACATTCATCATCAAAAATATCAAAATAATCCCCACCACCACTTAAGTTTATGCACGAAACATAAAAAATCAAAACAGAAACAAAGTCATTTGTCAATAATGTAAATTACAGCTGTCGAGTGTCGTCATCGGTCCTCACTTTCGTCTTCTTCTTTTCTTTCATTTCTACTACAATGGCATGGATCATGGATTTCTCAACCTTAACCATAATAGTCATGATAGTCTCATGGGAAACACTAGGACACTAGAGGAAGATAAACTAGGTAAATAACAGGGGCGGATCCAGGGGGGGGGCCATGGGGCCATGGCCCCCCCCTCGAGCACCTCATGGACATGTAAAAATGTAGGTATTTTGAATAAATAAAAAATTAGTTTTTGTCTTTATAGCTAGAAACTTCGCAACAGCTTTAAGGAATAGCGAATTTGTAATTACACTCTGCTGTTTGGCAAATATATTTTCGATAACACTGCCACTTAGTAATTTGCTCCAAACAGAAAACAAGCTAACGATGTTGTTAGTATCACTCTTCAGATAAAAGGGATGATATTCTAAATACCTACTATCTAAGTATTTCGAATGCAACCAAACAGAAATTGAAAGAACTGAATGTTTAATTTTTGATGCCGAGAATAACAGGGAGAATGGTTCATAGACCAAATACGGTTTCCTCAGTGGATGACCATTACAGAATAACTGTTTTCATTGCAGTTTTATTATTGATCTTAAAGAAGGAATATCAGAAAATGAATTGAACCTATACAACCTTCACCTTTGTGTGCCATCTCAATAATTGAAAACAAAACAGATGAGGCAATTTATGAGGTATGGGAAATATACTTGAACAGTTTTGGGGAAAATAATGAAACCTTCCAGAAGACCGTTTCTGAAATGTATATATGGAAGAAAATGAGGGATACTAAGCAAAATATACCAAACAATGGTATAACTGCCCTGAAGGAATGTAACAAACATTTGTTTCCTAACATAAACATCCTTCTGGAACTATTTTGTTGCCTACCTGTGAGTGTTGCATCTTCTAAAAGGAGTTTTTCAACACTCAGAAGGCTGAAAAATTGGATAAGATCCCGAATGGTCCAAGACTGGTTAAATGGATTGGCATTAATGCATATTCACAGAGGCATCTGCAGCAGTCTGAATGTTGATGATATCATCTGTTCCAATTGATCATTCCAGAATTACGTCATTTGAGAGGTTGCTGAGGGGCAAACATTGTGTTTTGTCAAGATTTGTCATATAAAACCAGAATTAGTGGGATCGTTTTCCTTGGGATTCGAGTTGGAACCAGAAAGAATTTCATAATTTTGTTTGGTGAAACTGCAGGGATGGCCAGGGCTATGCTCATCAGAGGTAACCTAATAGATAGTTTGTGTGCCCCTCAAGAAACCATGTCAAAATCACGTGTTCTAGAATGATCAATTGTTTTATTTTTTAAGAGAAATATTTTCATTCACTTTTGTATACCCAAGTTTTTCAACAGAAATATTTTTTCATTCACTTCTTTTATCCAATATGATTTATTACAGAATTCTACAAACATTGATGGAAAATTTTTTCACACCAGTAATTTCGATGTTTACTATGATCAGTTTTTTTAATGAAAAAGCATTTGTCTCATATAATTTCTCTTCCGCGCTAACCTTATTGAGCCGTGACTTTCTATGGCCCCCCCCTCAAACATCGTCTGGATCCGCCCCTGGTAAATAAGGCTATATAATAGATATAACAGTTATGTATTCAATGAAATATATTTGATTTAAATGTATAAAACAGCTCTGGTGTATAACAAATACTCGTACATTCTCATTTATTAAGAAATATAAAGTTATATGTAAGTATATGTACTTGGTATATAAGTTAATTTCCTTATCAAATCAATATATTTTACAAACACAACAACATGGAAAACCAACAATTGACATCTACACAACTTTTGGGATTGATGTTTTGGGCTTGGGCCAACATCTATCCAACAATAATTAGAGGTGTATAGGTTTTTGACAGTCAGAAAAAATATATTCATGTTCAACCAGATGTCCCAACAATAATCCTGAGGCATTCCAATAATATTCCCAATGAGTTATTCATATCCCAATGATTTGACACCAATTATTTTCTGGCACACTTTCAGTTATTTCATCATGTATCTTGCCAACCTGTGGTCATACCTGTGCATAGTTGAATACCCCATATCTTTGTACCTTTCCAGCTGTGATAGGAACCCCATATTGGGAAACACCATCCTCTTTCTTTTGACTCTGTCCAGTGCTTCTCTGCAAGTCAAATTGTACTTTTTCATCATGTAGGCTATGACAACAGTAGCACTCCTAGATAGCCCCATTTGACAGTGCACTAGCACAGCACCTTTGTGTACCCCATCTCTGATGAACTCATATGTCTCATCAAAGTGCGACAACAAATCCGAGTTGCAGACATCAGACAAACGTATGAATTTGATGTTCAAGTGACTCAGTTGGTCTTTGATCTCAAGTGATAATGGGAAGTCATTGATTGTGAGGATGTGGGTTATTTTGTATTTGCGAAGAGTGGTGACACTGCTAGCTTCACCGATGCCACTCAGGTAAAGGTTTGTGTCTATTTTATCCAAGGAACCTGAGTTTGAGATAGGTCTAGGGTAGCTAGAACATAAACAAAAATTGCAACTAGAATAATAAATATGGGGCCTATCCTATTACAACCTACTTAGTGGAAACTTTAATGCAGCCAAAAAATTGATCTTTTGGATAAAACGTACCTACACCTCTACCAACCAAGAGTGAAAATTAATTTGCATTATGGATTAATCCCATATAAAGGTGAACAGAAATGGATCTTTATTAAAATTGAATATTTTGGACTTACAAATATCTGGATAAGGCCATCTTAATTGTCTAGTGATACCGTGATACTCAATAGCGATTGACACCTTTGCAAAATCTGTATTTATAGAGTTGACTTGCTTTTCCATTTTGTCTATAAATAAACTTGAATCTGGAATATTACCTAATCAAATGTTGGCAATGCCACAGTTTGCAATGCCAACAGTTGCCAACAAAAAACTCCCAACCCAAATTTCAAATTTGCTGGTGAATTCTATGCTTCAAGCAAAGGTGGTCTGTGGGATTGATGTTCAAATAAGTCACATTTAGTATTTATTTAGCTCAAAAGCGCATCAAAGTAATAACTAACATTACTTTATTCAAAATTGAAAAACAAGGTTGGTAGAACTGATGATAATTTGAAAAATAAGCATAGCGCCATCTTTCAAACAGTAGATTAACCAACTGTGACAGATAAACATAAGCAAATATCATAACAGATGCCTATCATAACGTAAAAAGGAGAAACCTGTAAGCACGTAAGGCAGGTAGCTAGAATATTTGTGTGGTTATGTATAAGTTGAAATAAGTTCCAAGAATGTTGTTCCAAGTTAATTCAGTATAATTGCGGGTGGATACATAAAACATAACACCAGAATACCACAAATATTTCTAGAACAGTTTATTAACTATTTTCATATACACAGTATTACATAAAAAAATAAATACAGCACCTGCCAAGGGAGAGCCTTTGAGATGTGTATATAATATAAATTCATAATTTCAGACCCTGTTCTATGCAAAACTTAACACCTATTCAGGTACCAACATTTTTAAAGAGTGAACTCCACATTCTTGATAACATTGCTGAAGTCAACTTTGGAAGGGGTTAGATAGAAAGCAGGTGATACTTTCACCCCACAAGGGCACTGGCACCCCATGACCCAACTGAATGAGCCTAGTTTGCTTGAACATTTTGGACACAGCAGTTTCCCTTGCATCACTTGCCCCACATTCATCCAGGCTAGGGGCTCGATGAAGTAGGTTTTCAGGCAGGTTTCTCCTTTATCTTGATGCAAAAGCAAATTGGACTCTGATGCAAGAGTTCTGCGACACTTGCGGCAACGGTAAACATTAGGCTCCGGCTGCTCTTGCTCCAAGCCAGGGTCAGGTCGGATCAGATCTTGGAACTCTTGTGGCAAGATCTTCACCTTCTTGAAACGATCAGCTGCCATATTCAGTCTGTACACTGTGTAATGCTTACTGTTTGTATCAATTTTGTATCCCATTATCTTGTACAGCTTGAGTTGGTTGATGAAACCCTGATTGGGATACACTATTTTACGTTTTGATTTGACCTTTTCAAAAGCTTCATGGTATGATAGCTCATACTTTTTCATGATGTGTGCAATCACTACACTAGCGCTGCGGGAGACCCCGAAATAACAGTGCACCAGCACAGCACCCTTCTGTATACCCTCTCTTATAAATAAGTCAGTCTCATCTAGGAATGATAAAATGTCCTCAAATGGTTGATCAGACAGTTGGACGAATTTGGTAATGATATGTTTGAGCTCAGAAATAGTCCTTGGTAGAGGACAGGTATCAAGGGTGAGTATGTGGGAGATTTTGTACTTGTTAAGGACATCTATGTTCTTTGCTGCTGCTAGGCCGCCGAGATAGAGGTTGTCTTCGATCATATCGATGCTTATGGGGCCCAGAGAGACGTCCATCCTTGGAAGAAAACTCATATTGCCACTGTAAATGAAGCTCATATTGAATGTGTCAAGAAAATTACCGTTTTTGTTTTATAAGTCAAGGAAATCAACTTACCCCTCTGTATGTGTTGGATCAATAGTGATATAATAAGTACTGTGCTTTATGAACAGTGGATTGATTTTTTATATTTATGTATGCACCTTTGTCATTTCAATATTTTGGCTCGATTAGATTGGCAAGAAGCCCACATATTTATCAATATTTAAACGCAGATTAATAAGCCGGACGCACTTCAATAGCCGGCAAAACGATTTTTCTATTACGGAAAATTGTCCCCACCCCACGAAAATACAAAATCGACCGCCTTTCAGTAGTTCTAATGGCCCACGCTTAGTAGTTCAAATGTCTCATTTAAAAACAAAATGCGTATGTATCTGTAGGCAAGAGACCAAAAATAAGAAGAGGACTGTCAACTTACATAATCTTCGAAATAGGTTAGGTTACAAGTATTTTGGAATTTTGCAAAAAATAGCTCTTTTTGGAGCTAATCCGATAATTTAGAATGTCTGCAGCACCCAGTCGCGGATTGATAGGTCTGTTCAAAAGGGGATGGAATGAGATACCCGAAGTCGTAGGAAGTAGCTTCTTTGCAGTTTTTGGCATTGGAATCTTAACAGCTTCCGTGTACTCCTACTATGCCAAAGATGGGGACAACAGAAGATACAGAGACGTTTATACAGTCGTCAGGCACGATGATCCAAGAGCAGCAAGAGTCAGGACAGATTAGAATTGAACCAAGTTGTAGTAACAATTTGAAAATAACTTTATTTAAATAAATACATAGTTTAATAGTGTTTTTTTTGCAAATATACAATAAGATTACTTAACATAATTAGAATGAATTGAAATAATGTAAATGTACCTAATGAGAAAAAAGATAAAAGAAGTTAAACAACTGTCCAATGCATATCCTTGGACAGTGGTTTAGATAAAATAGATTTCTTATTCCTGAAAAAAAAGTTTCAACACCAGGAAAAGAAGGGACTTTTGTCTTGGAAGCGTTGTGTAAAATTGAAAAACCTAGATGTATGTTGACTTTGGGACCTGAAGAAAAAACAAACATTAGAAAATTCAAAATAATTGTCCAAATTAGAATGGCTTACTTTTCGACAACCACTGCAGGCATTTGAACAAGCTGCACAGGTGATTTGCTATCCTTCAGAGCCTGAGTTAAATTCAATATTTGGCCCCGCATCACTGACATTTGACGTTCATAATAATTCCTATCAAAACCCTTATCTTGCTTAAACAGTAAATATAAATCATCACAGAGATCCTGAAAAATAAATAAGTAATCATTTAATACCAAGATACATTCTATTTATATAGCAAATATTGTTGAAATATTGGATTGTTTCTATTTTGTTTCTACAACTTTATGAGAAAAATAAGTCTAGAAGGTGGGGCAACAAGAATCAAAAATCGAATCATTACAACTTAAAAAATTGGAATGATTTGAAATTCTGTCCAAGTTGATATTTTTAACTACAGTGCAAGTGATATTTTGGATTGATGCAAAAGTATTTGAGTTGTTTAATTTCAAGCAACTGTAACTAGGACTAATTCAAAATTTGCTATTCAAATTGTTGCCAGTTGAAAGCAATATAATATTTTAAATTTGTTCGAAAATTGTGAGCCGTTTCGACCAATAATGAATAGTTTCGACACAAAAAAATCCTTAAGTTGAAAAATCTCGATTTTGAACACCCTATATCTCTGTAATCTTTCTCGATAGACCCAATCTGTGATACATCGATAAAATCAGCTCTTCAGGGAGAATCTAAAAATGCGATAAAATACAGGGTGCTCCATTTGAAATATCAATGTTGCTACTACTTTCTAGTAGAAGTGGCAACACTGCATTGTCGAAAATATTTTAAATGAAAAGAGCGTATTCTGAGATATAAGCATGCACATTTTCATGGATTTCTCGCGATTTATTCTCGATATAAAGATAGTGTAAGCTCGTCGCGACATACCCTGTATTTTATTGATTTGCTGAATATACCGGGTGTCCCAGTATACCTGTTCCAATGGATTATCTCAGTTATTTCGAAAGTAACAAATTTGAAAATTTCACGATCTCCAATTCGTTCAAGGAACCTTCAACTGAGAAAAACGAAAATTGAAAGTCACTTCCGGTTTGACCGGAAGTTACTCTAACTTCTTCATTTCAAATAGCACCCTGTATATTTTTTGCAATTTTTGGTTTCTACTCAAAATTACCTTTCTAACGATAACGATGTATCACACTTTGCATTTTACAATTGATTTGATAGAGAAAACGAAAATTGAAATTTGAAATCGAGAGAATTGCAGTAGACAACGATATTTTGTGTACTTAATGATTTGTTCCTCAATAATTGATGATTCATGAACAATTTTTCATTCGAGATGATGAAGAGAACGTCAAATTTCAAATTATTATAGAAATATGTAGTAGAACTGGAAGAATTAATAATTCTTAAATGAAAACCTTAGTGTGCCATGGAAACATTTGAATACATTTGTTTGTATCATGACAGTATATAATTCTCAATGGTTGTGTGCGACATTCAAGAATGAATAACCGTGAAAATGATATGATAACTTCACAATTCAAGAGAAATTGGATATGATACTGATATTACTGATTTTAATTCCAAATTTCAATTTGTCGTTTTCTTCATCATATCAAATGTAAAATACAAAGTGTGATACATCGTTGGAAAGGCAATTTTGAGTAGAAAGCAAAAATTGCAAAAAATATACAGGGTGCTATTTGAAATAAAGAAGTTAGAGTCACTTCCGGCCAAACCGGAAGAGACTTTCAATTTTCGTTTTTCTCAGTTGAAGGTTCCTTGAACGAATTAGAGATCATGAAATTTTCAAATTTGTTACTTTCGAAATGACTGAGATAATCCATTGGAACAGGTATACTGGGACACCCGGTATATCGACTCATTTCAAAGACACCTCGTATAGATAAGAACATGAACGAAAATATCTTTGAATTTCTGTTCCTCACACCCCGTATACCTACTATCGATATCGGAATTAGTCGTACTCGTTCGAGAATTGATATCAGTTGAAAGGATGACGTAACTGGTTAGTCATTCGAATGATATGAATCAAACCAATCAGCAGTCTCGTTCTAGACTTCATCGCGTGCGGTGGATTAAAGTGATTATAAAAAAATAACTCGGAAGTATTTAAGAGTGGAAAATTGGAATTTATATTCGGTTCAGTGATAAGTGTATTTCCATTTGAGTGTGTGAAAGTGGTGTATTTCCATTTGAGTGTGTGAAAGTGGTGTATTTTCATTTGAGTGTGTGAAAGTGGTGTATTTTCATTTGAGTGTGTGGAAGTTGTATTTTATCAAGATGGTAAGTGTTTTTGTATAATATATATTATATAGACGCATTCATCACGTGGTTGGTATTTTGCTTCGGTATATTTCCATATAACGATGAAGAAATTTTGAACTTCGCCTTCTTCACCTATTTATACAGAGGATCGCCATTTTGTTATGAGTTAACATAAATATTTTAAAATTTCGTATTCATTTAGGATCGAATAATTCTCTTTGTTAACTTATACAGGGGTACTAAAAATGGGTATTGAAATGAGTTGCAAAAACATTTGCTATTTTGTAGACTTATTTCATGGGTATACGAAACTATTCGAAATTTGGTATACCATTCTTCAACACATGAAATTTAATGGAATCGTATCGTACTAATAGTACAGAGTGACCCTTTTGAAAGCGGGCAACCCTCATAATATTTTTATTTATGGAGCGATTTTCACAAATTTTCTTCTGAAATGTAGGGGGGCAAAAGATGTATTTTGGAGCCAAGCAGCGTCCTTTTTTTAACCAAGGCCTATTAGTTCATATTCAGAGGCTGAAAAATCCAGATTTTTTCGAAAATCTCAGCTATTGGGACCGGTATGAATGGCCATCAATGGAATCAGTTTTTCAGAGACATACATCCTCTTAAAGAATGCTGTGCATTTTGATTAAAATAAAGAGGGGTCAATTTTCACTTATAATATCACGAGAGCTACAATTATTTCCGGAAAATTTTTCGAGAACACGAATATTTTGAAAATTCTCCCGAGTAGAAGACGATGTTCGAGAAAAAATTCCCGGATATTAATTGAAGATAAAGTGCTAAATTAACATGTTGATGGTCGTTTGTGATGTAATTTAAGAACTAACTTAAAGTAACAACATGTGTTTCTGTAAATTTCGAATTTGCAAGTATACCTACATAATATTATATGGTAAACTGGTGATAAATGATTTTAATTCATTGACTTATAGAATGAACTCGAAATAATCTGAAGTTGAATGTAAATGTCATTTAACCTATAAACGTCAAAAAATTCCCAGTGTAATTTCATGCTCTGTCCACCAAGGAGAAGGAAAACATTTCCAAGAAATTTGTTTAGTTGCTATGGTAACGATACAAAATACAGGCTTTAAATTGATCGAAAATGTTTGGTGTGGAATTTTCCATGAAATCATATTATGCATTTTTTACAGGAAAACTGACCTCACAATATTGTTCTTCGTGAATTCAAACTCTCATATGTAAATTTTCATATTCCTGAACAGCATTTTTTCGAACGTAATAAATATTCACTCGGAAACGGAAACATAAAATAATATTTCTTTTTTTTTATTTCAAATCAATATTTTCTACAAACCGGAGCTATTGAACGTTCCAAAATTTGCATTCAATTTGAATTCACGAACGCACGTCTAATTGCTGATATATAGAGGGGGGGCGTTTGAAGTTAGACTAGCTGTAAAATCCAGTGGTGCACGCGGAATTTTTCAGAAATAATCTCTAATATGGATTCTGGATTTTTCTGCTTTTGAATGTGATCCAGTAGGCCTTGGTTTTTCAGAAAAATGGAAGCCGCTTAGCTCCAAAATACATCTTCCACCCCTCTACGATTAAAAAAAAAATGCGAAAATCGCTCCATAAATAAAAAATGGGTCACACTGTACATACAAAGTAGAGCAGAATGGAACACTTTTGCACGTGGAGTGCGAATAGCTCGCCATTTTATTTTTTCATTTGGGACACCCTGTATTTCATTCTTTTACTCAGGAGAACTCTTTCTTCTGATTTCCAACATATACAGGGTGTTTCTTAAGTACGTGTAGAAAATTCAGGAGCATGTTGCTGACGTCAAAATAAGAGTAAATGTTCGTATAAATATATGCCCGAAAGTTACTCGTTTCTGCGATACAGAGTGGCGAAGTTGAATTTTCAGTTTTGTTTTATTTTGATAAATTTCGAAATAATCGTGATATTCGAATAAAATTTGGTATCTAGATACCAGTTGGAAAATAGATTTCTAGAACACTTTTGTGTAAAAAATATATTCCAATTAGAGGTCGCTGCGAGCAACTGTTTTTGATTTATTGGGATTTGAAAAAATCGATGCATTTGAATTATTTTCATGGGGCTCGTAAGATTTTGTGCAATTTTTATCGTGCTTGTCTGTGGACCTTCTTCGATTGCCTGAAGAACAGCTTCTTCAATTTCTGGAGTCCTAGTAGTCAACGGTCTGCCTATCAATGGAGCTTCTTTAAAGGATCCAGACTCCATGAGACGCCGAAAAAGGTTTCTGAATGTCTGGTGATTCGGCAGTCAATGATTAGGGATTCTTTCATTTGATTGTTATATTTTCAAATTGGAAGAGTCCAAAAAAGAAGGTACCAAGAAGTTGGAATAATCATCTTTTGCCGATATTCCAATGTTGAATGTAGGAGAATATTGAATGAAAGAAGAAAAATGCACTAGCATGTCTTCTCTGATATTTCCTACTTAGAGGCGAATTTCAAATGCATCGAATGTTTCAAATCCCAATAACTCGAAAACAGTTGTTCGCAGCGACATCTACCAGGAATATATTTTTTACACAAAAGTATTTCAGAAATCTATTTTCTACGATAAAACTCGGTACAGGTACGCACAAAAAAGTAATGACTTTATTAAAGACTCAAAAGACATGTAGGTGGCGCCCGCGAAAGAGACAAACCAACATCAAATTTGATAGTGTCATTGAAAAATAACCCCTAGATACAATTATTTCGGAATTTATTAACAAAAAACAAAAATAAGAATTCAACTTTGACACTCTGTATCTCAGAAACGAAGATTTTTCGGACATATTTAAACGAGCTTTTCTTATATCAACGTCAGCAACATGCAATTTTCTACATTAAGAAACTTTATTGAGGTTATCTTTGTCAGTTTTCGAAAAAAATGAAGTTTC